AGGGCACTATGGGCCTGTGATACATAAAAAAGGGCTGGATGTCATTGGCAGCTCCTTTGGCCCTGAGGAAAGGCTTTGTATTGTCCATTAAAAAAGTGGAAGTCCTTAGAAGAAGCCACTTCTACCTTCTCAGTCTTTGCCTCTTCAGTGAAATCATGGCTGAATATCAGAAGGAGCTGGCTAATGATAAGATCTGTTAGGCTGCAGAATAGTGTCCTCAAGATAAATGTTGCAGTTTAACTCCTTTTGGGGCTGTATTGGCATGTTACTGGCCAGATATCATGTGGCTTCCTGTCAAGACCTATCTTTGCTAGGATGGCTCATTCCCACCTGCCAGCTAGAGACAAAGTGGTAAAGGAGTGTGCTGTTTACACAGAGTCTTGTCTCACGTGTGATGATTGAAAGCTGGAATTGAGATTAGCCAAATTACAGTGGTGTAAAACTGTTATAAATTAGCCATTGTCTCAGAGCGCCAGTGCATAATGTATAGCAAAACACAGTTCAACTTCTTTCTTTCAGGCCAGATAAAATGGTGTCAATGTCAGGTTTAGGTGAACGTGTACATTAACAAATGATTGAAGTCTTAACAGTTTATGCTTTTATAAATGGATTTACAAACTGGGTTGGTACACATTGACACAGCCCTCACTGATCAATACATTGGCTGTGTGTGTAAATCATGAGTTGGCTTGCACATTGTAAATGGCATTGTTTATGCAGCATAGCAACCAATTTCTGAGGAGGTGTTTTTCACACAAGTATTGGTCTCCTAGGTATTTATCATCTAATTCCCCTGGTTCAGATACTACTTGTTCATTGCATATTAGCGTGCCTGAGCTCTATGTCCTGTCCCATGCAGTTGTTTTAAGAGGATTTGTCAAGATGATACCTTTCCGCACACTCAGATTTGTATTGAAAATTTTGCTAAAAGATTCTTACACAAATACAAGGACGGAGATAAACTGTCTCATAAAGACATATGAGTTGCAGAGGGTACCAAACCACCTCAGAGCTTCCGTAAGCATAGCCTATAAATATACATTTGCACAACCCATCTCTTGTTAATTTATCAGTGTTACTCTGGTTCTGCAGCATGCCAGTAATTGACAAAGTGCCAAGATCTGATCTAAGTTACACTAGGATAAAAAATCCAAGGTAACTCTATTAAAGTCATTGCATTTGCTGGATATATGCCAGTGTAAATGAGCTTCAAATCTAGAGCAAATGGATCAGAAAGGTTTGGACATTTCTTTGACTCTGTCTCTAAATTACCCTTTTTTCCTCTACTACAATTTTTTGCAGCTTAACTGTTGAGCATGCTGTATTTAGCTAGGCCTTATAGTTTAAGGGCCTGATCTGATCTTGCTTACCTTGACTTTACTATACGTGACTCCACGGATTCATCTGAGCTACTACTGATAGATCAGTGTGAGGTCAGAATCCGGCCCTAAGCAGTTAAAGGCCCTTCAGGTTCTTGCAAGATGATCTTGACAGCAGTTGTCAAGAGATTATCTGTAAAAGTGCTTGGTAATACTGTTGGGTTACACGGGCAATGTTGCTGCTTTTATTTTGTTATTGTTAACTTCCATTCACTGAATAGAAGGGGGGATCTGAACTAATCCCTGCTGCTGGAAGTCTTACCATGGCCACTTTGTTGCTTCTTTTACAAAGGAATCAGGGATAATCCAGCGGGGTTCTGAGTTCTCGCACCTCCCATCAGTTTTGATGAGAGTTGCAGGTAACCGGAATCTCTCAGAATCTCAATTTTCAGCCAAATGCTGTGTGTGGCATGTCTGTCGTTCTGTTTACTCTGCTTCTCTTCTTTCCAAACCCCCAGGGTGAAACCAAAGTCCTGAAGCTGAAGAATCTGAGGCCTCAGGATTATGCCAGTTATACCTGTCAGGTGTCTGTACGAAATGTCTGTGGCATCCCGGACAAGTCGATCACCTTCCAGCTCACTAACACGACAGGTAAGACAGTGGCAATAGAAATGCCTCCTTGCACTCAGCCACCCCTGTTTCCTGAAGGGCTCTCATCCTTCCAGGGCCTGGTGAAGTAGAAACCTATCAAATACCCACTACAGTTAGTGGATGGTCTCTCATTGGCTTCCCGCTGGTATTGTGTTAGGCAGACTATGTAGAAACTTAGCATGTACCAGACAAAGAGCTGGAACCGGGGGGAGGTCCTAGAGGACTTGGAATTCAGCTCAGCTCTGTGCTCAGCTGCTGTCCTTGCCAGGACTGGTCTCTCTAAAACAATCTGTGTTCAGACATTGGGGAACTGCATAGCTTTTAGAATGGTCCTTTATAAAACAAAAGCAACTTTCAGCTGGGCAATCTAGATCTGGGCAAACGCTGCAAGCAGGTTTCCACAAACACTCAATGGAATTTGAGCCTGGTTCATGCTTCAACCATACTCACTTTCCAGCGGCCTTCAGGCAGCCTGGTTCCACGGGTTGCTTGTGGCAAATGAACAGTGCTGTCAAACTTTCAGAAAACTAGCTTTGCAACTGTGTTCTCTGGTGTTCGTGTTGTGAATGCCTGAGCAATTGTTCCCGTGGAGAACAGAATCGATACGGTGCCACTTGTCTGACCAGTCATGACTAATCAATATTTGCATATCACATATCAAATGTTTGCTGATACCTGGTCGCAACCAATAAATATAACAAGCCAAAAAAGGCTAAATAATGCAGTGAGTATTTTCATATAATGAATAAATGTCAGAGAATTGCTTTCTTGCTCTGGGGTATCTTGTGATCAGAAAAAAGGGGTAAACTTGGATATTGTACTAGTCTGAATAATTCACCTAGCTCTAATATAATACAAAGCCATATACATCCCTCGTGTCATCTCTGTAGAATGAAAACAGAACACTTGATGTTGCCAACTGTTGATGGGGTATTGTTAATACTGTATAAATTATGTTTATTGATTTAGCAGAGCCAAAAGGCTCCAAAAGAAGTTGCATATTTTTATGTATAAATAATTAACTAATGAGGTGAAGAAAAGGAGATGCTTGGCCAAACACCAGAGGAAAAGCTCTCCTCACAGTGCGATCTCAGCACTTAGAGAACCCCCTTAATGTCATTTCTTTCAAGCCAGACCACAGAAGAACACTCACTGGAAGAAACAGTTCCGCTCTAGTCAAGGTGAAAGGGACAGCTTTTCTCTCTCCACCTTTTATGTTCATATGTATGAAGAATCAAAATTCCTTTTCATAATCACATTCCCCAGCCAAATACAAATAAAGCATCTTTCATTTCACTTTGACCCTTTATTGAGTGAGCAGGGAAGACATATTTTCAAGCTAGTTAGATCTGATATCAGTATTGTACTTTTTATGACTAGAACCGTTCTGTTTCTTAGCCATCTACACCAACTCTGAATTTGGCCCACATAGTCCATGAGTGTCTCTCTTTTGCCAGATATAGATAATAAAGGAAAATGTATACCCAAATACCTGGTATGTATGTACATGAATAATTGTTTTTAAATTCTCTTTTGCTGCATAGATCTTTTCATTCCCTCTTATGCTCATGCATTAATAACATCCTTAGCATTGCCTGTGTCCAGGATGCTGAACAGTTTTACTCATGATGCCTCTGCTTTTGCACCTGGAGAAAACCCAAGGGGCAGAGAGGTGCATGAAGATCAATCTTTTAAATATTTATAGGCCCAACTATTATGGACCTTTGTGGGGAAGTGATGGGTCAAGTCAGGCCAGGCTTGAAATTTTTCTCCTAGCTTGTTTGTTGTACTCCTGAGCCACTTTGCTTTGGCAGTAGAAGCAGCTGCCAAGAGACATTGTGGGGTGGACCATCTCTGGTGAGGCTCTGCTTTCTCCATCAGGGATTCCAGAGCTTGGCCCCAAGACTCAGGATCTTGTTTTGTTTTTCTGCTATGACTCTTGGACAGAGTTATTTTGGGCAGCTGCTGACAGTTGTGGATACAGCCCAAGTATCTGTACTCGCTATACATTCCTGTCTTCACTGTGAAAAAAGCCTGTTTCTCTTGCTCCTACTCCTCTCCATGCTCCGTGGTTCTGGAGCTCAGCACTCAGGCAGGACAGAAGCACAGCCCTGCCTCAGGCCCATTGTTACAGCCTGTGTTTTGAGCCCCATCTCTGGTGGGGCGGGACTGACATTTTCTCCCTTGATTTCTGCAAAGTTAAGCCCAGCTGGTTAATTCTCCTGCAGTTTTACTGCAGCAAATTGGACTTCAAAGGGAATTGAAAGCGACTCTTTGTTTTTAATGGTCCCCTCGCTCCACAGCAGACTCTGCCAGCAGGTTTTCTGAGCCGAGAACAAAAGGAATTGCCACAGGTTACAAATAAATGAGATTCATCTCCTGCATAACAATGGCTGCATATTCTTAACCTCCATCCACTGAATAGAGGGGAGGTCTGAACCAATCCCGGCTCTCAGAAATGGGACTGGGTACATGCCGGTTAGCTGGAGCTCAGTTGCCTGGAGAGAGGGGCAGGCGGCTGTTTCACAGCCCCTTTTTCTTCTAGTGACGCACACAAACAAGCTGCCCTGAGGCAGCGGCTGCCCCATCAGGTCACTTTTTTGACATTACTTTGCAAGGAACATGTCATCACTCAGCAGGATTCAAGCTATTAGGCCTGACCAAACACGTTCAGATAAAATAAAAGAATGACCTGGAACCTTTGCCAGAACCTGAATGAGATCTGATTCGCAGTCCCCCACCTTCCTTCTTCCTGATTTCAAATCTGCACCCAGAATGCAAATTGATCTCAGCCTTCTTCCAGCTCAAGCCAGAGGAGGAAACTCCTGACCAAGACCAGGTCAGCTCAGCCAATGACTGGCAACTAACTCAGCAGCTCAGCTCAGTGCCAGAGGGAGACGCATGCTATTCGGTGTCATCTGAACCAGACCCAAGGTCTCTTGGCCCAGGGCAGATGTTTGTAGCCTATGGGGAAGAGAGGTCCTTTGTTGTCTGGGTAGCTTGTGGGATTCATTCACTTAGGATCATGCGAATCGTTATTCTCCTGGGCTCCACTGAGCTGCAAACCCCCTCAGAGTAGTGTTACCATATTTCCAGTTCCAAAAAAGGGGACATCTGTCTGAGGGACACCTCACTTCATACCCACAAGCTGTGACCCTCTCTCCCTACCTGTAGCCCCCCATCCTTGCTGCTGCCCCTCATTCCTGAGCTGCAGACCCCTGGCCCTTCCAGTGCCCCTCACTCCCGACCCACAATCCCTCGCCCCTGTGCTATGCTTATGCCCCTCACTCCCAACTCACAGCCCCCAGCCCTGCCAGTGCCCCTCACTCCTGATCCACAGCTGCCCTGCTGGAGGGGACCTCCATCTGCCCCTGTCCCGACTGGGCTGGAATGCAATGACTGGTGGCTCCAACTTGTGCAGGTGGTGACAGAGCAAGTCTGGCCCTGGTGCACACCTACCCCCCAGACAGTCACCAAGCCCTGACCCTCCAACTCCCACTCCCTGTAGACTTACCTTCATCCAGCTGCCAAGGCTGCTCCCACCACCCTGCCAGGCTGTATGCCTGCCATGTGTGTGTGCACGTGCAGACACGTGGTGCCCCCTGCCTCCAATTGCCCTCCCCCTGCTCCCACCAGTGGAGCAGAGCAAAATACTGGACATTTGTTCAGATTGCAAAAAAACTGCCCAGATGGAGCTCAGAGGACCTAAAAAAAGGACATGTCCAGGAAAACCCAGACGTATGGTAACCCTACCTTAGAGCCTCAGGTTACTCTTGGCAAATTCACGCATCCTCCTTCTGCTTCACCTCACATGCTGGATCTGACCTGTGTTTTCCAGAACTCCAGGGTGGGAAGGGCCCTCAAAGGACCTGACTTCCAGCCAGACCCCCCAAGATAACAAAGATCTCAAAACCATGGGCTTCAAATTAGCCCATAGAAAGGAGCAGCAGGAAGGAGTTGCTCCTTCCAAATGAGACCTCTGCAGAGCTGACCAGGTGCTCCATGCACACATGACAAGGGGGCAGCACTGATATGAAAGACGTATGTGGCCCCCAGCTGGACCTGCCAGTGCGCTGAGCCAGCGTAGCAGTTGTTAAGTTGCTGCTAAGTTATGACATCTGTGCTGAGGAGAGAGCAGCCCTCCTCTCCTTGTTTGCATGGGCTGTAATTCAGTGATCCAACACAAACCCAGCACAGCTCATTAACACAGGGTCCAGGGAGAGGAGAGGCAGAAATAATGATGCTGTTAAATCAGGCTTCATGAATATGTAACAACATCTTATTTTGCATTATTATGGCTGTTACTTAAAGTGCACTCACCACCTTTGTATCAGGGATAGTTGATTGCTGGAGCAGGAGATGGAGCTGATGAACAGCTTGAAGAGGGTCTTTCATGAGAGTAAGTGGCAAATGAAGGGACAAGTGTTTGGGATCCGAGCTCTGGAAGGGCAGGAATGAATGGAACCAGGTGCAAGGACCAGGTTATTCAGAAGATGAGGCATTGCCCATGCACTTTGAATCAGCCTGCAGCGGGAGCCCGGTGGATTGTCCCCTATATCCGTAGAAC